ACTGGCCTTTAACGTCCATGCTTCCATTCCGTACAGCAGAACAGGCCACATAGTTATCAATTTAAGATTAAATAATAGATGTAAATTAGGAGATAATGCACCATATATAGTAATATATATAGAAAATAAAAACGGCGATATCAGCAAATTACACAGGATAGGCACGGCCCGATAAATTTTACGTTCAGTACCTGAAATTGAAAATAATAACACGCAAATTACGGTAGTTGGTAGGAATAAAATTAAGTTAGCACTCAATAATTTTGCTAGTGCTAATAAATTTATTGAATCTGAAAATTTAAAAAGCAGTCAGTATTAGGCATATATTCCAACGTTTTTTACTCAAAGGAAAGGTGTTATAAAGTCTGTAGATAAAAAGATAGATGATGATTTGTTATCACTAATTTAACCTAGGTTTGGAGTGAGGTTTAAAGTCTTACATGTAAAAAGAATAATGCGGAAAGTGGGACAAGAAAATGAATCTACTATCTACTTAAAATATGAACTGTAATAGTGAACTTTTAAAGGTCAGTCTATACCTACAAACGTGATAATAGAAATAATGATATACGAGGTTAAACATTAATTAACGACAAAGTTAATTTAGGTATATTATATAACAAAATGACACAAATAGGTCTTCTAGAATGTTTTTGTCAAAAAATAATAAAATTGTGTGACTCGAAAAATTTATATATCGGTAACTGGTAACACAATTGCTCTAAGGCTAGCGATGGATGGTTTACGTTAAGGAGAAATATTAGGCCCGTTGTTATATTTACTTTATACTGCTGATCCAGTAAAAAATTTAAACTCCACAAGAATTTTACAATTTGCAGATGATGTCAAGAACAAATTACAATAGAAAATGCAGTAAAATCCATTGAAGAAGGAGCCAAACATATTAAAACATGGAGTGAATTATATGGACTAATATCTACAGTGTGAACACGAAGTATCTTCAAAATGAAACTACAAAATCTGAAAATCAGTTTATGTCGACTGAACGCAAGAGTAACAGTATTGAAAAATACTTCCTAAGGGAATAAGAGAATTTTAAAGATGGCGTCCCAATATCGGTTCAATTCAAATATCTTCAAAACGGTTAACTTTTAAATAATAGCATTCTTCATATTTTTTAGTAAAATGTACCCAATCCTTAGGTGTGAAAATGTTTTTTTAGTTGCAGTCATAAGCGGCTCGTTTAGGTGGGCTATAAGCATTTTTATTCATAACTCTTTTGTCTTTCAAAATTTCATCATTTTGACATAACATTTAACAAGTATAGATTTTGTCTAAAAGAATTATGCTCTTATCTGAATGTTATATATTTATAACGTGTCATTTTCGATCAAATTCAATAATATATTTAATCGTTGTGTTCAAACGTTCGTAAACGTACGATCGTAAACAAATGTGTTCGTTCTTATTTAACAAATAGGCAGGAATTCTTACTGGATTTGCAGATAACTGCAGAGATAAACGAAAAGAAATGTATCTATTTCATGGAATATACTAAATTATTTGACTGTGTTACATATAATTATTCAATACATAATACTATGTATTGAATATTATTGAATATTCTGGAAAGAAACAGTTTTGACGAAATAAAAGAATTGAATATGCTGAAAAGAAAGGGTTTAATTGTTCCAATTAAACGTGGAGTAACAAAAGGTTAGGTATATACTGAGTATGTACTCTGAAATATATTCGAAAACAAAACTCGAAGGCGCAAAAGATATCATAAAAGTGAACGAAATGTTGATAAGTAATATAAAATATACCGATGACACAATTATAATTACAGCTAGTTCAAATGGCCTGCAACATTTACTTCAATAATTGTTAAAAACTTTGATTTTTCTTTAAATAAAAGTTGGTAGCAAGAGGGTATACAAATAAATTACTCTTGTATAATTTTGTATAATTGTATAAGTATATTGTATTGTATAAGTTAATTGTCACGGTAATACGAAACTTTACACTTGTTTCTATATTTGTGACACAAAATACAAAAGAGAAAGCCAAATTGTCCGTACTTAAAACATAATAAATGAGATAGCCAGTTTAACAATTTTACGAAATAATAGGAAGCAATAAATTTTAACAAAGTCGTTAGAATACAGCATTGAATTATATCATATTATAGTACACTAAAGGAAAAATATTAAATGTAAAAATAGGAAAAGAAATAGTACATACTTTCCAAACATGAGTGTATTATTGTTCACTCGTGTTTTTTGACTAGCATAATTGCCTTGGATATTTGTTGGATAAATACTGTTTACCATTTTTTTTTTTTTTTTTTTTTAATGGCATAGACTGTTAGTCATTCAGCCAGACTCAACATGGTAAAAAAATAGTTGTCTGAGTTTATATTAATAAATATACAAAACAAAGAACAGGTAAACAGGGTCACTCTCTTCTCGCCTAGGGGCCCATCAAGGCATTTTTTTTTAAGACATACAACACTAGGCCACGGTAAGAGGGGAATTTGACAATTGGGTAAGAAACAAAGGTTACTTTATTAACTAATGCATAATTATTTACATGGTTATTTTACTATCCTTTAAAAACATAACTAAGGAATCATACACTGGTCTCGAGTCTAGTGATAATAAGTACTGAAGGTTCCAAGGGGCTAATATATTGTATTTATGTAAGTTATTTATTAATCTTGCTGAAATTATAGTATTTCTGGGGCAACTGAAAAATATATGATCTAGGTTTCCTTCTTCTGTACAAAATTCACATCGATCATTATCTAAAACCTTGAGTTTAAATAAATGTTTTGGGGTAACAAGCATGTTCAAATCTCAGTCTAATGATCGTGGTAACATATTTTCTAGGTACATTAAAAGACTTATACCAAGGTGTTTTAGGAATATCTGTTTGAAGAGAAGTGTATCTATTTGGGCTAACAATGGAATATTCCTTCCATATATTATCCCACCTTTGATATAATCTTATTTTTAAGAAAGCCAGAAAGTCGCAAGCCGTGATTTTATACGAAGTTTCTCTACCAGATAAAATACTTTTCTTTGCTAATTGGTCTACATGTTCATTATTTTCCAAACCTATATGTGCTTTAATCCAAACAAAGACCACATTTTTGCCCCTTGTTACTAACTTTTGTTTGATATTCTTAATTTTGTAAATATAAGGGCAACTGTACGTATTTGGCAATCCCGGTTTCCCAATAGAGGTCAAAACTGATAAAGAATCTGATATTATCACTATATGATCCGAGCTACTTTCTGTTGCATAAAGTAAGGCTTCATATATTGCAAGAGCTTCCGCTGTAAAAATAGAGGTCTGGGAGTTTAACTTAAATGTGTGTTCTATTCTTTCCAACGGGACAAAAAAAGCACATCCAGTACCGTTTGATGACTTGGAAGCATCAGTATATATAACGACGGAGTTTTTGAATTCTATGTTTACCATTTAAAAATAAGACTTTTACAGTACCATATTTAATTTATTTGAATCATAAATAAGTAAAACACCAAGGTTAACTATTTTAAATGAATAAATTTAAAAAAAAAAATTTTATTTCCAGCATTAGTTTAGTTTGGGGTATGAGTATGACATACCCCGGAACACCTCTCGTGCTAATTTATCTAGGCACACTAACGCAGGGTTAAGAAAATACCAGTTGGACGAATTAAGATCGGAACACTTAAGATATAGAATTATTTCTTTAAAGCTGTTACTGATTTTCGAAGGAGAAGGCACTCGAAGAAGAAGATGCCAACTTATATTATTTTGCAATTCTTGATATTTTCAGAAAAATATTTAATAATCTTGATTTAATATTTACATGCGTTTCATCAAATGCATGATTTTCAGCAGCAATGGGAAAGAGTTATCCAATTATTTTTCCCCAATGGCCTAAATGCTTTCACAAAAACAAAAAATAAATTATTAAAAGAGTTAATTCTGCGATAAATCTGCTCTATTTACTTTACATTTAATTTGCAGTTCAAAGCGACAGCTTTTACCAATACAGTTAATATTTTATAACGATTCTGGAAAAAGCTGACTATATTTTAAAAATGCTGATTTATTCAATATCATTACCGAATCAAAAATTTAATAGACACGTTGCAATTAAAAAATAAACATGGACGCTTGTGGAAATTTAGGCAATTAGGCGCTGGTAGTACAATCTGGCGCACTGATTGATTTCACAAAATTGAAATCGTTATACCAGACTGCTAATATGTCTACATTAGAATCCATTTACCATGTCAGTAGTAATTAATACACAGGGCGACTTTTAACATTTCTTAAAACGATTTGATATGTATTTATTTTATAATGGAAATATGTTATTATCGTTTGCAAGTGATGTATATGTGGCATACCAGAGCTTTCAATGTACTATATTATTACATGTATTAAGAAAGTACTATAGCAATTGTAACATCAATTATCTTTAATTAATAACTTAACATTTCGACTTTCAAATGTCTTACATTCACATTAATTATTTTTAGGTGCCCTCATCTTATTAAGTATATAGATAGATACAAGTCCAATCGTCAGAGATTTGATCTCGTCTTTATCTGAAACGGGACGAATAATCTGAATTTTGCTAAGAATGTTAAAAAATGTGTAAAAAATTTACCACCCCTACCCCCCGTAGAGTAGGGGGGAAACGGAAAACATCGATTTACCAAGAATCTGTAAGCCGAAGAAAAAATGCTTTGCATGTCTGGTTATGTCTTTCCATTCAGATCTCTCTTGGATCCTTCTCCTCCATTGTCTTATATCCATGGTTTTCAGGTAGTCTTCCACGTCATCCAACCATTTCCTCCTGGGCCTTTCTTTTTTTTTGCCTTCCTATTGGCTTCCATTGTAACATCTTCTTTGTCGGTTTCGTGTCTTCTTGTCACTAAACATGTCCTAGCCATAACAGTCTTTGACTTTTCATAAATCTTACAGTATCACACCCTTCATTCAGTTCATTAACCTTGTCGATTTTCCTGATTCTCCATCTGCCGTCTTTCTCTTGCACCGGGCCATATACTTTTCTCAATATCTTTCTCTCGAATGTCCTGAGTTGGGCTAGCTCTTTTTTAGTCATTACCCAGGTTTCACATCCATAGGTTACTACGGGTCTAATCAAACTCCTGTAGATAGTCATTTTGGTTCTTTTGTCTAATAATTTCGATGTCTTTTATTAGCATAGTATGTACGATGCATAGTAACCAATGCATCTTACCAGTCTTGACCTATGGAGCAGAGACCCTAACTTTAACGAAAGCTACTGCCAAAAAACTGAGAGTAACACGAAGGCGAATGGAGAGATCAATGCAGGGCCTTGAAAAATCGCGTGAGAAATGAGGAGATACGCCGACGAACTGGCGTAGACGATATTATACTGCGAATAATAAAGAAAAGTGGAGGTGGGCTGGACATGTTGCTAGAATGGAAGACGGAAGATGAACGAAGAGATTATTGGAGTGGAGACCAAGAGCCGACAAGCGAAGTCGAGGCAGACCATCCACTCGATGGACCGACGACCTAAGGAGAATAGAAACAAACTGGATTGCAGCAGCTAAAGATAGAGAGAACTGAAGACGTTTGGAGGAGGCCTATATCCAACAATGGATGTTAAAATGGGGCTGGATGATGATGATGATGATGATGTACGATATCCACTGGAAATACGTGCATTAATTTCACTGCTTACGGAATTCTTCTGATTGATTTCTGTGCCCAGATATGTGAAGGCATCCACACGTTTAATAGTATAGTTGTCTACTGCTACATTATTTTCATTCTCAGGTGTTTTTTTGATGGTCATGTACTTAGTTTTTGTTTCGTTTATTTTAAGCCTTCTTTTTTGTGCTTTAGGATCAATTTCCTTGAACGTTTCCATTAGTTGGTCTTGCTTCTGCTAATAATGGCGACATCGTCTGCTTATGCAGTAATTTATATTGTTTTGGTGTTGATATGGCCGGTAACGTCATTTTTAGTTAATTCAAATTGGGATCAAGCGAAGGAAATACGTACAAGAGTAGAAATGGCAAAAGCATCGTTAACTAGCATGAAGCAAATTTTCACCTCTAAAAGCCTCACCCTACCTCTCAAAATTCGACTTCTGAAATGCTATGTATTCCCAGTTTTGTCATATGGAATGGAGGCGTGGACAATGACCGCAACATTGATGAAAAAAGTAGAGGCCTTCGAAATGTGGGCTTACTTGGGTCACGTTATGAGACATAATAAATATAGAGTACTACAACTGATCGTTCAAGGGAAAATGGACAGCAGAAGGGGTCCAGGGAGGAGAAGACACTCGTGGCTCCAAAACTTGCGGCAATGGTTCGGATTGTCATCTGCTGAACTATTCAGATCTGTCGTAAACAAAGTCAGAATAGCCATGTTGATTGCCAACGTTCGGAACGGACAAGGCACATGAAGAAGAAGAAGAACGTCATTTTTATGAGACTAATATATTTTTTTGGTATACCTAGATTTTAGAGGTGTTTCAGCATTTTGTCTCTTTTCACACTATCAAAAGTTTGTTTTGAAAAAAGAAATGTAGCTGAGATAATTTTGAACAAAAATTTTTGTTAGCACTTTTTGTATAGAAGATGGACTTTTCCTTGAGGCCAGCTGCTGGTCTTTACATTAACATATAATAATATTCATAATGCTTCTTTCTTAAGTTTCTTTTCTAAAGTGTATGTAATTTGATAGAGAAAATATAATTTTGGAAATAGAATAAGTTTTATTTATGTTTTAGCTTCAAGCCCGAACACATGAGATGCTAGAAACTCACTTTCTCACTATAGGAAATACCATACTACGGAGATATGTCCTGTGAACTAAACTGTAGTGGCTGACGTTAACAGAGCCATGCAAGGCATGTGACATTAATGTCGCGACGCAGAAGATACACATCGTAATGGCGGCATCGCACTTCGTTAGGTGTTACTCGTTATGCGCTATATTCGGCCAAATAAGACGAAGTGTGGTGGGTACATTTGTTAAATATTTGCTTTATTCGCACGCATAAGCCAATATGGACATCCACGTCCATTTTGGTTCCAGCAAACACGCGTGACGCAAGTATTTAGCATGTTTGGCCGCATAACAAATAACATATAGTGAAGTGTGGTCATGTCATGACACGTATGGCATGTATTTCGTACGGGTTTGGGTCGTGAGATGATACTCTACGGTAATTTCGCTTAGCATTTAACTTCAGAAATATCAATATGGATATGTCGGGAGGGGCTGTAGCAATAAAAAGAATTATATAAAACAAGTCCTATGTATCTATCTATATAAGGATCTTTACAGCTATCGTTGCCTTCCTTTTTTCAGCCAACGTCTCCATTCCTTTCTGTTCTGCATTCTCCATCTCTAAGGTTTCGTCTTTCCATGGCCTCGTCCACTCATCTCTCCATGATCTTCGGGGTCTACCTCTTTTCCTTCTTCCTATTGGACTCCAATCCCAAATCTTTGCTATCCACCTTGTATGATCTGTTCTTCTCACATGTCCATACCAAATTAAACGTTTTTGTTCGATGTAGCTGAGTATGTCTTGTTCTACTGCCATTCTTAGTTTTATCTCCTTATTTCTGATGCGATCTATTTTTGTCACTCTGCAGCTTCTTCTCATGAATTCCATTTCAGTTGCTGTGATTTTGGACCGGTTTCGTTTATTTATTACCCAATTCTCTGCTCCATAGGTCATTATGCTGTGTACCAAGGTGTTACAAATTCTCTTCTTTGTATTTCTGGTAATCTGTCTATCCCACAGTACCCCGTTCATTTGTTTAATACATGTTCTTGTCTGTGCTAATCTGCTGGTTATCTCTTGATCGGTGGTTCCGTTTTTTGAGAGTATGAATCCTAAATATTTGAATTTTTAAGTGCCGTTAATTTCCCTATCATCGTCCATTTCCAAGTTTCTCACTGGTTCTTGCTCTGTCGTTAAATATTCGGTTTTTTCTAGGTTTATTTCCAGTCCGTTTTTTGTATTTGAAAGATATAAAACCATGGAAAGACTGAGCCAAATGGACAACTTATGAGGTTATATTAGCATATGAGGTTAGCATAACAAATTGCATGAGAAACAGCAAACCCCTTTCGACATGTCTATATTGATATCTCTGAAGTTAAATTAATGCTAAGCGAAATTAAACTAAATTGTTGTCGAACAGGGCAATGTGTAGCTAGATAATTCGAACGATGGGAAGTGCATCTAGAATCATTCCAACCTGCCTGATTTTCTGTAGTAGGTTTATATCTGTTGTTCGATATGTTTTAGTTATTTTATAGTCGTTGAAAATTTACCCTGCCTTCTCTCCAGTAGTGCTCCCAGGGTGCCGTCAGTGTGTACAGATAGGTTCAATAGCAATATGGATATGGACACAAGTCGAGTGATAGATGCAGTACGCCCGAAAAAGCATTTGTGGGATGCATCTGATGCATTCTAAAAATAAAGACGCAAGAAACAAATCCTGGGGAGATATTGTTGTCACATTGTTCGAAAATGTGTCGGAGGAAGAAAAACAACAACTACGCTGGTATTTTATTTTATTATCTTAGAATACCTACACTACAGGACGAACAAAGCAAAGAGTTTAAAATATACACGAGTCTTGCCAGGGCACTTTACCAATAGGGCTCAAAAACTACTCCGCAAAATGTTCTCACAGAGAGTTGCCAGACCTATTTGTAGGTACAGTTGGTATTTCTTCCATACCCTCAATTGTAAGTGTATCTTCAATGCGATAACAATCGCAATGACGAGTCTGGTCGAATTGATCGAATTGTTATAAAATCAACTTATTCCTGCCACAATTAATTATCGAAATACTGATTACATTAAATATTAAAACAAATCTATAGTATCTATAAATGTGTGGATTAAATGTGTGACCCTGACCGGCAGCTACTGAAAGAAATGTTGCCATACCACATATACCAGAGCAAAAAATTTGATATATTCCAAATGTAAATAACTAAAAACAAAAATAAAAACTGCAGAGACTTTTGCTTGATTATACCAAACTTTCCATTCCTCTGTAATTATACATATCTTAGAATTGACCCGTTCTAACACTACGGCAAATCGCTACATAGCTAAATACTGAAACTCTGTCACATCATAATATTTAATTTTATTAATTTATTTCTGTTAATACCAAAATTCGTCAATCTGTGCACTTATGTTTATGACATTCATAACATATCATGTTCAGCTGCAGCCGAAATGGCGGATGTGCTTGTTATGGCATTGTGGTCGGTAGCACACATATCCACGCATTTCTGTGCTTTACGTGCACATTTTAGCTGTCACTCAAAATACCTTTCGTTAATTAACTAATTATTGAGATTATTGTTTCGCTAATTCAATATCAGCATCTCTAATAAATTTGAAATTTTAGTCAACAAATGCGATTGATAAAATTACAGCGCATTCTTTGTAATAAATATGTTCGCATGAATGAATTCTGCTATGATTTATGAGGAAAATTAATGGTGATTCGAATTTCAAGTATTTAAGTTATATTACAAGATTAATTGTTTTTTAAATTATTGATATGATGCGTAACGAGTCCTGTATTAAGGCTACCACTAAAAATAGTGCAGTAAAGTTTTCATCTCTAATCCCAACGGTTGCTGCATTGGATGAACACATCAAAAGAGTTTATTTACAAACTCAGATTGGCTTGGAAACAAAAACATTTGTCCAGTTGACTGGGGATGGTGCAAAATTAAAGAGTCTTTGTTTCGAACTAAAAATCCCAATCCACCTGCTCCAGAAGAATTGTTAAAAATGATTTTTTGCAACTGCAAAAAAGGGTGCGGCGCTTCTTGCGGGTGTCGAAGAGTAGTGTTATTTTGCAATGCAGTGTGCGGATCATGCAGTGACGATAATTGCCAAAATAGCACTCCAATTAATGAAAAAGGAGAAATTGGTGAAGAGATCTCTGATGAAGAGTGAAAAATTAACAATTAAAGTACTAAGTATTAATATTTGAAGTCAAATAAGCACTCAAAAAATTGTTCAGGAAATGCGGAAAGAATAATATTAATAAAGTTTGGAATATATTAATAAAGTTTATCATAACCAAAAAAAAAGTTTCTAAATGATTAAAACTATTAAAGCTAATAAAAAAAAATTTCCATTATTTTTATGACAAGGGATAGTTTTTAAGGGTGCAAAATTACGCAATAAATAAATATAGTACATTGTTTACCGGGTAGGAAAAGCTTAACATTCCTGGACAACTGTGAAGATTGCTAAGTTGAGGCGCAAGCCGAGACTTAGCAACACAGAGTCCAGGAATGTGGCTTTTCCTACGAGGTAAACATACTATTTTTCCGCAAATCGTTTAAAATTCGACAGATATTGATTGATTTAAAAAAAACGCGATAATTTTATTCCCAATTAAATGGTGCTTTGAAATTCCTAATAAAATTACTTGGGTTACTATGGAAACGTATTGAGGTTGAAATGTTAAACTTGACGCTTATAAATTTAATTGCTGGTGTTCTCGAAAGTAAAATGATAAGTGATGATGAAATTTCCATTCCTGGGACTCCTCCAGAGCTGGTTGAGGCAGTGAATACTGCTTCATTAGAATTATTGCCAAAGAAATCAAGAGAAAAGTACGAAAATGCATACAGACGTTTTATGAATTATCGCATGAGTAAAAATACGAGTTCTTTCTCAGAAAATGTTGTAATGGCATACTTCCTAGACCTTTGTTTAAAGATGAAATCTTCAACATTATGGGCCAATTATTCAATGCTGAAGTCAACCCTTGCACTTAAACACAA